TCAGGGTTCTAAACACTGGATACAGGTTTCCTGGGGAGATGAGGCCATCAAGTCCAAGTGAGCCCCAGGAATTACCCAGAACCTTTGTGAGTGCTTTTCTGGGGAAAGGGCACCTGGCTTTCTTCAGATTCTCAGCCGTTTGTGATACACATACACACACACAAAGTTTAGGAATCACCGGTGGGGTGCAGGAACGAAAGCAGCCTCCCACACGTGGCTGAAGGGGGACGCTTGGTACAGGCACTTTGGACAGCCATTTGCCAGCACCTTTGCAGCGGCCAGGCAGCTCCTCTCCAAGGCATACAGCTGAGAGCACAGACAGTGATGGCCGAAGGCACTCACAGCCGCAAATAACCATAAACTTCCAAATGTCCTTCCACACAGAATGACTAATAAATGGTTACATTCATACCATTGAACACTATGCAGCAATTAAAAAGAATGAGCTCGACCTAAATGGAATTTTCTCATTCACTAAATATTTATTGAACACCTATTGGGCAGTGTTCTTGGCCCTGGGCCTATAGTGATAAATGGGACAGAGAAACTCCCTGCCTCAAGAACTGACATTCTAGTGGGCAAGATGGACGGATATAAGTAAACACAGAAGATAATTTCAGTGTGAGAAACATCATGAAGAAAATAAAACTTGATAAGGGGATGGAATGATGGGGCAGGGGGGAGGCTTTTTTAGGCACTGCTGTCAGAGAGGAACACTCTGAGGAGGTCACATTTGAACAGAGACAAGAATGAGGGAGACTTCTGGGAGAAAAGCCCAGCCACTAATGGGACTGATGACGAGGGCACATTGCCCGGGAGAAAAGGAATCTGCAAACTAAAGTGAAAAAGACAAAACATTCTTTACTCACACATACAACACTGCGAGGTTAGAGAAGGATCTGGAAGGGTTGATGCCACCTTCAGGAAGCTAGCTGTCCTGGGCATCGAGAGGGCAAAGGGCACAGATGGGACTGAAACGCGACGTGGGCTTCAGCTTGCCCCTAATAGTTTATTACATATTTATTAAAATAATTATTAACTGATCAATTAATTAATGTTTAAAAGGAGTATATACACACATGTTGTTGTTGTTATGTGCTGTCAAGTCAAACCCGACTCATAGCGACCCCTCCTTGGGTTTCTGAGGCAGTATCACTACGGAAGTAGGATTGCCCAACCTTCCTTCCGAGGAGTGGCTGGTGGGTTTGAACCGCCAGCCGTCTGGTTAGCAGGCAAGTGTCTTAGCCACTATGCTACCAGAGGTCCCATATATACACATACAACTAGCAAAATATATTTCACAAATCTGCCTTGGTGAAGGAGGGTGGCTCCAGGTCAGTGAGGGGCCCAAGGGGTCCTCTTCCACCGATTTTCACTGCACCCAAGTTCCTGAGACAGCAGTTTGTTTGGGGAGGGGACACACGGGGAATCATGAAAACTCAAAAGCAGCACATGTCACAACCTGGAGGACCCGGAAGCTTCTTGGAAGAAGGGCTGCCTTTGTGGTCAATGTCGTGAGACCAAGTGTATTTGCTCTGTAAATTTTCACCCAAATCACAATTTAAAAAAAAAAAAAAAAACGGGCTGCCTTTGCTGAGCCCTGAGACCCTCTGGGCCAGCATTCCCTGAGTATATAAGGAAACAGGGCTGGAGAGGCCATGGTGTGTGCAAGGCTACAGAGCAGATGGCTCAGGACTTGGAGTCACAGACTCCTGACTAGGCATCCTTGCCATGCCTGAACCCTCAGTTTCCTCGGGCAACTAACTGACGGCCTTCTTCCGCTAGGCCACTCCATCCACTCCCTTCCCCCACAGTAATTGCTGCGCAGGTCCAGAGACCCTGTCCTGCTCTGACTGCAGGAAAGCATCACCACCTGCTGGTGAAAAAGGGAACTGCAGCCCCCATTTGCTTAACGTACAATCCCTTCCACTCCAAGTCAGCTCTGTACCCAACTCCCACTATTTAGCACAGTGACAGACTCCCTAGCACTGTGTGTTTTGGTTTTATTTGCAAGAAAGCAAAAACCTTCAGTAGGGAGTGAACTCTCACTGTCACCCCAGGCCCAGCAGGTGCAGGAAGGGATTACTCACTTGAGACAGTGGCACCCAGCACTGGCACTCTACAAATTCCTTGACCCTCACCACAAAGTGTAAGGTAGACCACTTGACAGCTTGGAAAAAGGAGGCCCAGGGAGAGGAGGGATCACAAGTGAATGCAAAGCTGGTCTCGGAACCCAGGTCTACTGAGACCCAACTCAAAGATGTTTCTTCTCTATTGCAGGGAGGAGCTGGGGGAGAGGGAAGCCATCATATTTGAAAATGATTGAGACAATCTAAATCAGTGGTTCTTGGCTCGTGTGGTCCAGACCGGCAGCATCAGCATCACCTGTTGAACTTACTGGAAATGCACATTCTTGGGCCCCACTCAGACACTTTGGGAGTGGAGCCCAGCAATCTGTATTTTAACAAGCCTTCCAGGTGATACTAATACTGCTAAAATTTGAGAACTATTGGTCTAAAGCAATTGCACCCCTCCCCTTTCATGAAATAAACTTTTATTTTGGAATAGTGTTAGATTTACAGAAAAACTTGCAGATACTCTCCACCCAGCCTACTTCAGTGCCAACATCTTACATAAATGGTCCACTGGTCCAAATCAAGAGACTGATAGCGTTGCTATGGTTAGATGCCATTGAGTGGCTCCTAGCCATGTGCACCGCCCACTCCTGCACCATGACTGACAGCAGCCCATCACTATTGACTACGATCCAGATTCAGATCATCAATCTTCCCACTAATGTCTTTTCTTGTTCTAAGAGCCCACCCAGGGTGCTATATTGTACCTCTTTTAAATTCTATTGGCCATCTCTCTCATCTTTCCTTGGGACAGAGAATGAATGGGTGGAATGCTGTTCTCCTCATTCCTGGGCTGGGAAAGCTTACGGTTGAGGACAAAAGTGACCGAGTACCTTCAGCAGAGCAGTGAGAGCAAGGCCTGCCTCACCCTGTACCCTCTCTCTAGTTTCCCCTCTGCAACACACACACCTGGACTTTATTGATTTATAAATAAGTATTTATAGAAAATGCTTCAAATGGTTTTCAGAAGCCTATCCGCTCCTGTCCCACCAGTGCAGACGGACAGTGAGAGATGCCTCGATTGGAGTGGGCCCAGCCCTGTCACTTCTTTCCCCTGACCTTGAGGGCCAGGACATTGTCTCGGTGCATGGCCCAGCCAGCTGGAGGCCAGTGTGTCTTCTGGGTTCTTGGGGGTGTGGCAGGTGTCAAGGAGGCTGCTACTGCAAGTCTGGTGTGGAAGCGCCCAGGTAAACCCTGAGGTCCGACAAGGTGGACTGGACGAGCTTGGCAGGGATGGTCTCTCGCTGCAGTTGGCAGTAGGCTGCATAGCGGTGGCAGCCCCCGAAGGAGTAGTAGTAGTCACCACCCTGGGCCCCTTTGATCCAGAGGACATCGATGGGGGGCACGCTGCTGGGGTCCTCCTGGGGAACAGGGGGCACAGCGTGAATGAGCACTGCATAACACTTGACAGTGTGCAAGGCAGACTTTGTCAACGTGTGTTGAGCTCCCACCAGTGGCGTGCTCACACTGGGTCATGAGAGCCAACTGTTAAATACATAGAAATTTTATGAGTTGGTTGATATTACCTTGGTCGTTTGAAAATCAACCATGGTGAGAGTATTTACACCAGCGAAACTGGCAGATGCTACAAATTAGGGTTTTTTTTTTCTCCATGGTGACCAGGTGGTTAAACATTTACCAGAAAACCACATACATACTATTTATCTGGCATTGTTCTAGACTCTGGGAATACGGCACAGCAAGAATGCCACAGACACAGCCCCTGCCTTCAAGGGGCCTTCAGTCTAGTAGGACAGAGGAACAAAGAAGTGAATGTCAGAGAGTGATAAATGCTATAAAGACAGTAACAAACATTGATGTGTATCAGAGTTGGGGGTCCACTTGGGAGGACAGAGTTAAAAGATCTTAAGGTAAAGGCCCAATTGCCTGGGTTCAAATTTCAGCTCTCCTACTTAATAGCTCTGGTGGTATAGTAGACGAGGCATTTGGCTACTAACTAGAAAGTCAGCAGTTCAAACCCACCAGCTGCTCCACAGAAGGAAGATGGGATAATCTACCTCCATAAAGATTTACAGCCTTAGAAACTTAAGGGGGGTTGCTCTGAGTCAGAATCGACTTGATGGCAGTGAATTTGGTTTTTGGTTTACTTAACAGCTATGTGACCTTAGCCAATGAACCTTTGTGCCTCAGTCACCCCATCTACCAAACAAAGAGCTGTTGGGTTAAATGAGTAGTATATATAAAGTGCTTCAAATGGTGCTAATATATGCAGTGTACTGTCTGAGGGACATGCATTCCAGGCAGACGGACCACCCTCTTGTTTTTTTAGGGCTGCTATGACAGAAGTACCACAAGTGGATGGCTTTAACACACAAAAATTTATTCTCCCACCATCTAGGAGGTCAGATGTTCAAACGGTGGGTGCTGGCTCTTGGGAAAGACTGTCTGCTCTGGGGAACAATCCTCTCTTCTTGGCGATCCTCAGTGACCTCCCTGTGGCATCTGTCTTTTCCCCATTGGTGCTTGTTTCTGTGCCTAAGCTGTTCCTTTTACATCTCAAAAGTGATTGGCTTAAGACACACCCTCTACTGATTGTTGTTGTTGTTATGTGCTGTCGAGTCGGCCCCGACTCATAGCGACCCCTCCTTGGGTTTCTGAAGCAGTATCACTACAGAAGTAGGATTGCCCAACCTACTGATATGGTCTCATTAATATAACAATAACAAAAAAACCTGTCCCCAGATAGAATTGTATCCACGTTTGTAACAGTAAGGATTTAAACACATAATTTTGGGAGGACACAATTCAATCCACAACTAGCATGTGCAAAGGGCCTGTGGTCAGAGCTAGCTCACTGTGTTGCGGCACAGCCAGAAGGCCAGTGGGGCTGGTGGGATCTTAGGGGTCAAGGACAAGGAGAAGGCAGCTGAAAGGTCAGGAGGGGTCATCCGCAGTCATGTGGGTTTTGTTTTGAAGAGCGGTGGGCAGGCCCTGGACGGTTTCAAGCAGGGTTCTCACGCATATTGTAAAACATCATCATGGGAGAAAATGCTTGGTGCAGTGGACCAAAGAAGAAGACAGAGGACAATGAGGTCTCTGCAGGCGTTCAGCAGAAGATGTTGGCCTGGATGAGGGTGGTAGGGATGTGGACAGGTAGACAGGTTTGAGACATGTTTAGGGGGCAGATCTGATGGGATTTGCAAAAGGGGTAGACAGGAGGGTGAGAGCAAGAGGAGGATCTAAGTTGACTTCCTATAGGGGCCTGAGTGGATGGTGGGCTGTCCTCTAAGTAGGGACAGCCTGAGGTCGGGTGGGTGAGTGTGAGTGTGTGCGTGTGTGTGTGTGTGTAGTACACTTGATAGGGAAGCCATGTTGTGTGAGCTGCCTGCAAGGCTTCCTGCCGCTGGCCCATGGGTTCTTTCTTATTGTGCTCCTCCAATGGGTTCATCAATCCATTTATTGCACAGGCGTCTTACAAGCAGTAAAGCGCAGCAGTTACGAGCTGGGGCTCTGGAACCCAGCAAACTGAATTTGAATCTCAGCAGCTGGGACCTCAGGAAGCAACCTGGCCTCTCTCTCT